TATATATATATATATATGAGAGAGAGAGAGAGAGAGTTATTGGATCCTTTTTGGATATGCCTAGTATTTTTGCACCATGGGAAATAACATAAAAGATAAATATTTATAGCTTCCATATCAATAATTATAAACATTAAAAATATAATTCATCATGAAATTTATGATAACTTCTTACTCATCTAGCTAAATAATACTATTATATGATATTTTAATGCACTTGCTATACTGCCAAATGAATAATAATGAACACCTCTTTTATTGCTCATATTGCATGCTCGTTATATTACCATTTATACTTTAATAAATTAGAATGCTTGTTGGTTTTGAATTATCAAACTAATTTTTTATAAAACTATTTATAATAGAGTATACTCGGTTGTTAGCTAAACCATCATCAAAGAAGTGAAGTTTTAAATAGCCTTATATTTGATATTTAAATTTACATAATAGTTTATATTTTTTACTTCTATTATAATTTAACATTTTTTTTGTTTATGTATTGTTCACTAATTTTTTTTTATTACAGTTATAACTTTATGCTTCATGGTGGAATAGTGGTTGAGATTCTATTATAAAAATGTTCTCTTCTAAGTATAAAATAATTTTAATTAATCTTTTAAAACTTGAGGTTAATCTATTCATTACGTTAGTATTATCAAAGTGTAGCGCTTTGTGAAGTTGTACACAACAACTAGGGACAAACTAATTTGTGACAAAACTAAAATTTTTACATAATAGGGACATAAATTAGTGGTTTTAAGAATACCCACAACTTCTTTTGACTATGGCTTTAGACTAAAATTGAAGTTTTTTTTTATGGTTTTAATATAAGAATGTTAAAAATACATCGATTAAAAAACTTTAAATTGAGAATTTATACTCTCCATATTCTAAAAAATCTAAATAATTACTTACATATCAAATGAAACATAATTTTTTCCCTTTACAAGTCACATATAGTTTCCCTTTTGAGCCATCATATTTTGAAACCATTTTTTTAATATGCTATTAGAAAACAACTCATCTAAGATGACTCCTTTCAATCTTCAAAGAATGAAAGTCATTGGCTATTCTCTGAGATGTTTAACTCTTCAAAAATTTTTTAACACTAGTAATTACATTGATGAGAGATGTCAGGCCTACAACCTACTAGAATCCTTATCCCAACTCATAATGGGAAAGGGAGGGGCATTAAAAGCTCATAGCATTGAAGTAAGGGTTATCACTGTATTGTGAAGAGCGAAGGTGCATACAATATGTGTATAAATAGCTAATGTTTATCCTATATATATATAT